AACCGATTCCCCAGCAATCATTGAAGTAGGGGCAAACCCCTGGAATTCCCTTGAGTGTGCACTCCATAACTCCCTGGAACAGCCCTGGGGCTACACTCAACTGTGGGCACTTAACCTTAAAAGCCCCCCTATGGGTGACAATGGTCTGGGCTACCACTGTGGCCTCGTCCATGGGCAGTTGATAGGCCTGTGCCAAATCTAATTTGGCAAACATGCAGCCTCCTTGCAATGACACCAAAATATGGCTGACAAATGGCACAGGGTAACGTGCTGTTGAAGTGCCCTGTTGAGGGTGCACTTATAGTCAGCGCATATTCGTACTTCCCCATTGGCCTTTAATGGCATTACTATGGGGGTCTCCCACACCCCACTGTCTATGGGCTTCAATATCCCTTGTTCCACTAGCTTATCCAGCTCTGCATCGATTTTGGGTTTTAACGTGAAAGGCACTCTACAAGGCTTGATCCATATTGGAGTTACCATAGGATCAAGCTTGAGGGCGATCGGAGGACCCTTGTAGTCCCCTAGACTAGAACTGAAAACATCTGTGAACTCTTGGCAGACTGCAGACAGATCTGCCGCTTGTGTTTGGTGAATGTCGGTTACTTGAATGCCCAAATGCATCAAACTAATCGAGCTCTATGAGGCTCATGCACTATGACATCTAGTGGTCCCTTGAACACCTTGAATTCCACCAGAAGTGTGGCTTCACCTTTGACCGCCACTCGGGAGTTTTGGAAGTCTGTGAGTAGTAGATTAGACAGCCAGAGCTTGGCCCTTCTGTTGTTACAATGGCATAGATGCCTGAATGTTCCTTGTGAAATGATGGACATGGCTGAGCCCATGTCCAGTTCCATCTTGCATGGAACTCCCTGTAGCTTGACCTCTAGTCTAAGCTTCTGCTTTAAGGGGTGATGGGCACCAGTGCGGAATATGCTCCTTCGGCTGGAGCAAAATTCTACTTGGTGTTGACCCGGGCCCCCGGTACCTCTCCTGAATGAGTCTTCTTTCAGGCGGTCTCTCTGACAACCTCGGTAGATGGTGGCTATGTGGCCGGGTTTGCCACAGGCCCTGCACGTTGCAGTTTGGAATCGGCAATCCACACGTTGATGCCGGCCTCTGCAGCCCATGCATCTAAGGAACAGAACTGCCTTCCCAGTTGGCTGTGGTCCCTTCTCTGGGTGCTTTTGTAGGTGGTCGACTTCGTAGTCTGAGTCGGTGTCTTCCATCTGCTTGGCGTCCTCGTGGTGGACGGCTTTGGTGCTTGGCGCACTTTTGGAGGGCTGCAGTGCTTTAATGGCCCCTCCAGCAGCTTCATCCACCATGACCTCCTTCAAGGCCTCTTGTAAGGAGAGAGTCTCCTTAGCGAACAGTTTTTGTTGGAGCTCTCAATTCTGGAGCCTGCAGACTAAGAAGTCTTGTAGTCTCTCCTCCAAATCCACGAAATTGCAGAGTTGGGACACTTGACAAAGAGTCGCAATGAATTCTGTTGCAGACTCGCCAGATTGTTGCTCCTGCTGCTCAAAAGCATGCCTCCACGCTATAACAGATAATTTGGGTTCGAAGTGGTCTCAGAGCTTTTTTTTCAAGTCCACGTAGGTGACCGACTTGAGCTGCGCTGGGGCGACCAGGTTCTCTGCAGTGTCGAAGTTGGCGGGGCCGCACATGCAGGAGTGTCGTGGACTTCAATCCATTTTTGGCAACCTGGTTGGCGCGGAGGTAATTTTCAATGTGGGAGATGTAGGACACCCATCTCTCCAGATGAGTTACTTCAAATTCTTCAAGCTTCCTGACCTTCACCATGGTGGTTTGTTTCTTCGTTCAATGCCTTGTGCTGATGGCTTCTGTGTAGGCTAGATCCTTAGGACATGGTGGTCTCCAGCATGGCTTGCTGGGAGATGGAGGGGGGGAACGTAGTTCCTGTCAGGCTCTGTGCTGACCTCACCCTCTAGTGACTTCAAGCTCTCTTAATGAAGCAGCACATCCCGTCCTCATCGCCACTGTTATATCTTCGGTTCTTTAGACATTGAATGAGGCAGAGTGTTCAAACAGCAACACGTTTATTAACTCAGAACAGAAGCACCCTAAAGGCTGCTGAACAGCTATTTATACAGTTAGCTTCTAGGTGGCAACCAATAGGTTTAAAGTAACAGTTTCCTGCCCCAAACCTCATTATCAGCTTGGAGACAGCCAGTCTGGCTTTCAGTAACAGCAACTGTTAAACAATACAGCAATGTAGGTCAGACATTAAGCAAATGATTTAAAACAGTTATGGCCAATACATTATACTATCCATCCATCCATCCATCCATCCATCCATCCATCCATCCATCCATCCATCCACACACATGAATGATAAAATGATAGTACTGGTCAGCAGATGACAATGTCTGCCCTGGCCCTAGGGGTTTTTGGTGGGATAGGGAAGGTGGCTTGTCTTCAAAACAGATCCATGGGATAGACTGCCAAAATAGCTCCAAGTCACTTACTGAGCTCTGAGCCTGGATGTATATTTTCAGTATAGGTTTCTTTGATTCAATGAATTTAGCATTATATTGGTTCTTAGTGATATGACATTTGGGGTTTTAGAGGGGGTGAACAATGGGGCTGAGGAGCATTAAAGTTAAGCATCCTGATTTAGGAGGTATAAGCCAGGCTTTAATGCTGGAGATGACCTGTTGTAGCACTAACTAAATTCCAGAAACAGATACTGAATTTCTAATTACCTGGCACCATGGGCTTTTGAACTAAATTGCAACTTAAATTACTACCTTTACCTTAGCAGAAAGCTTTTTTGACTACTTATTTCCTGGCCCCCAATACTCTACCCAAAAAATCCAATGCATTCTATATATGGTTTCTTCTTATTTCCAACTGAGGTCTGAGAGAGGCAGAGAATAGCTTTTATATGAATAGTACAAAATGCTATTGAAAGTCATTTAAAATTATATCCATGGGGAAAGGCATGTACCCTTAGGGTCAACTCACAGTAATAAAATGAATGAGCAGGTATATATAAAATGAGCGTTGGTGTAACTTATTCTTCTCCAAAGGATATATCAAAGAACAAAACAGGGCAGAGACAGTTTAGTATCCAAACTTCTAGTATGGTTACCATGGTTTCTGTGTAGTGAGAAATGGGCTGCCTTGCAATTATTTTTCTTTCAATGACAAATAAAAGAAACATAGGAACATAGGAAGTAGAATAATAAGTTTTGTCTTCTGCCAGAATTGTGAGATGCAAGACCAATGTGCACTTAGCTACAGTATGAAATACCTTAACTATAGAGAGTGTTACATGATGTACTCTAAAACAACTGTCATCGATTTGGCTTATGGACTTTTATGTCTTTGGGTTTGTTTTGTTTGGAAAAGACTCAATTGAAAATTACATGTCATGAACTCAATTCACCCAGCTCATTTTGATTCTGCTGAAATCTCCCTCGCTATATAGTTTGGAGTTCAGACATCCCATGCCATCATTTGTGAGTCCATTCTGTGAATCTTCTATAGTGAATTACTAGATAGATAGATAGATAGATAGATAGATAGATAGATAGATAGATAGATAGATAGATAGATAGATAGATAGATAGATAACTATTATCATTTTTTTTACTGTGGGCACAATGGCACATATTAAAAATGAAATTAGTTGCTTGCTTTCAAAGTGTACACATACATAACACATTTAAACATACTATAAACAACATATATATAGCCCTACACCCCTATATATAATTAACATATAAATATTAATCACTGACCATCTTGAATACATAACTAATACAGATGGCTTTGTTTCATGTTCCAATGATGTTTAGAGAAGCAACAAGAATTGCACAATTGTTAACACTGGATATTCTAAATTTGCATTAAAACACAAGATAAGCATTATGGTAGATTAAATTGGACTGGGAACATATTGAAGCTAAATACAAACTTTTGTTTAAGATAAGTATTGTAGTCCAAATCTGTCATATGAAAAAAACCCCACAAACGGGAACTATTTTCTTTACATTTTTAAAAAATATATACTTTATGAAATTATATACTATCAAATTGTAGATTATCAAATAAGAATCTGGCCTGGCATGTGACACTGGCTCATAGGGGCTAAAATCTACAAGTTGGTGGATGAAGTATCAGTATAGAAATTCTACCCCTTTTGTTTGTACGTTTGGTGGCACATACCAGAGGGAGAGAAGTCAAATGCAATTGACAATGTTGCAGAATTTGAGACACCCTTCAACACGCACACAGAATGCTACTTTTGCCGTTAATATTTGGGTGTGTGCAATCTTGTTTTCAGTTTCCAGACCTTATTGCCTTCTATTTTTTCCTGAATCAGTGCAAGAATTCTGTAACAAGAAGAAACTAACTCTGTGGTGTACAACATCTTGTGTGATATTTAAAGCACTGATGTTTATGACTGTTATGAGATGTTATAGATTACTTTGCTCAGAAGAAAGTGAGATAAGAATATGTCTAGACATGCATAAGGAACATCTGAACCTGTTGAATCATACCAAAAATCTATTTAGTCTTTTATCCAACCGACTAGATCATTATAGGGAGAACACAAAGCAGAAAAAAAATTGTGAGAAGGAAAAGGGACAAAGAGGTTTTTATTTATTTATTTATTTATGAGACTTATATACCGCTTTAAGTGCAAGCACTCTCTAAGCGGTGTACACCAGTAAGCAATATATATATATATATTTACATTGCCCCCAACAATCTGGGTCCTCATTTTACCTACCTCGAAAGGATGGAAGGCTGAGTCAACCTTGAGCCGGTGAGATTTGAACTGCTGACCTGCTGAACACAGTCAGCTAAAGTGGCCTGCAGTACTGCACTCTAACTTCCTGTGACCATTTTAATTTTTTAAAAAAGAGAAGAAAGAATGTATAGCAAAATTTATTATGCTGCATTTTTAATTTGCTCTTCAGCACATATGTCATTATAATAGAAAAGAAGTGTGTACCATAAATGCTTACTTTGAATGATATTTCATACTGTTCTCCTCCCCAGATTTCTAATCCAGGGTCATAGCCACCAAGATCCCAAAACCACTTTCTATTAACAGCAAAGAGGCCTCCAGCCATAACAGGAGATCTAAAAAAAAAAAAAAACATGAGTGATGCATTTTATCATGGCATGATAGAAAACCTATTAATCCATCACAGATGCTGATACTTGCCATTTTTACAATATCACACACATATATGGAGGTTTTTATCCACCATATGGGTTAGATTTCATCTTGCATAATTCCCAGTCAGCTACTAGCTAGGAATCCTGAGAATTACAGTTTCAACATATCTGGAAGGTATCAGACTGGGAGAAACCTATTGCAGGCTATATATACAGTATTCTTAGAATCTTTTCCATAAAATAATTCCCTACTTTAATATCAACATTTTTGCTACTAAGTGATAAGATATATAGATAGTTGCTCAGTTGCCACCTCGAAATCTCACGACAGTTGAGATTATGGTTTAGGTTGAGCAAGGATGCCATACATACACATGATTATGAAGATTGCACTATCTGTAAGAGAGTTACACAGTTTAGCTTCTGTAAGCATTATAGTATTACAGTCAGATATGGGTAGTTCAAATGCTAGGTACAGTTTTCAGTATACTGAGGATATTGCAAAGTTGTTTCATTTTTCTGTTCTGCATAGATCTCCTGCAATAAAGAAAAAATTACAACAAGTTCTAGCAAAGGATAGGGGTGGAAAAATAAGGAGATAAATAAATGAAAGACAGCAATGTCTGGTCCCTCCTAATCCCAATAATTTCTAAGAAAGGATGATTGAACTACATTGTAAATGAGAGCTAGTTTCATATAGTGGTTTGGATGATGGAGAGAATTGGGAAGACTCAACCTACTTCACAGATTTGTTCTGATAAAAGTCATAGGAAGGAATGTTGGGTATGCCACCTTGAACTCCTAGAAGAAAATCCAGGATATGAAACTAAACTATTCATGGTAGTAATCTTAACACGGAGCTATGCTTTCTCTAATGTGGACACCATTATGCATACAGTGTGTACATTAGTACACCTTTTCTTTATTTTGTAGTCTCCCTTTCCACATGCTGAGACAAGAAAATTTTTGATAGAATATTTTAGTGAATGTATTTAACTACAAAAACTGGAATAGCTACATCTTGTAATTTTCAGCTCATCAAAATACAGTAAATGCTATATCTAAATGCTATATTTAAAACACCCATAGCGTTTACTTCTCTACAGCAATATTCATATCTATTCAACCTTTGTATAGACAAATATTTTAGAATAAAATGAGCCTATGAAGCATTTTATTTTAAGATTTCTTAGTTCGGAAAATTTAAGAACATTATAGAATTATAAGAGTTATAAGTTATAAGAGTTATAAGTTTAACTTTGCAGTATAATATGACCAGTTCACTATCTATTAGACAATATATCTCACAGGTTTGTGTTTGCAAAGAAAAATTCACAAAAACACTGCTACTTATGCTACCCTTGAATTTCTGAAGGAAAGATGGGACATAAAACTAATTACCTAACTATCTAACTATCAACTAGAGGCATAAATAAATATTGCTACAGCAAAGACATGTTTGCTAAAATTGACACCATTGGTCTATGACTACATAATTCAAAATTAGGATTCACTGAAAATATATTGAAATAAATATATATGTAAATATATAAATTATAAGAAGTTTCATTCAATCAAAGTACTGGAAAACAATATTTGCATGCCAACAAATATACAGATTTGATACAGTTCCATAGAATATGGAATAATTGATCTTGGTTTTCAGTGACTGCCCTTCCTATTTCATTTATATTACATATGCAATAACAGATTCAGTTTGGGGGATTCATTAAAATATAGAGAATTGAGTTAAATAGTTGAAGATATGACATATTAACATCAACTAGATTTAGACTTTGACGTAACAGAATCAAAGAATAAATAATATGATTTATCACATTTTTCCTATTTCAGAACTGTCATTTCATTTTATTTTTTATGTATGCTTTTGCTTCCAACATGGTATAACACTTGTACATTTCAGGAAGGTTTGATAAAAAAAATATACAAAAAAGACAGCAATTTTATTTTCAAACTGAGCTATCACAAAATAGCTTCTATGTTTGCATTTCACTTTAGTCACCATGGTGTCTAAAAGTATCTTTGCATAGTTTCAGTACACCAGATACTAGTGCTTATCTTCATCTTACCAGTTAAGGAGCTGAATCAGTTGCTGGTAAATGTATCTTGGAGAAAATGATGAAATGAAAGGAATAGTTTGAAACATCCCCCCCTCCCATGAACAAAAAAGTTGTTGACACCCAGCATATATGTTAAACAAATAAAAACCTAGCCAAATATTGGCTGGCAACAGACCAAAGTGTAAATGGTATTTCTTTCTGCTAAAAGAAGTTCATTTCATTGCAAGCAATGGCACATAATACATAAGCTCAATGTGTATTTCAGTTTTCACAATATTAAGAGGCAAGGTTCCATGCCCCCGTTCATGATTTCAGAGATTCTTGGTACAGAAAACCGCAACAGGCATATCTATAAAGGTATAAAATAGCATTTGACATGTACATATATGTATATATCAGAATAGTACTGGTCAGACTTTCTTCTGTTCATTCCAAATAATTTATAAGTGCACAGTAAATACATATAAGTGATCTAAAATTTAAACTCAGTAAGCCAGAAAAGAATAATGGAAGAAGCTAAAGACTTTATTTCAATATTCATTCTGCCACATTAAAGCCAGGGGACATAATGGCTCAGCAGTTAAAGATGCTGAGCTTGTCATCTGGAAAGCAGACAGCCCAGTTGAGACCCAAGTGCCACCCAACGGGATAAGCTCCCATTGCTTACCTCAATTCCTATCCACCTAGCAGTTCAAAAGCATGCAAATGCAAGTAGATAAATAAGTACTACTTCAGGGAAGGTAATAGTATTCTGTGTGCTTTAGTGTATACTCATGCTGGCTATATGACCATACAAAGTGTCTTTGGACAATGCTGGTTCACCTAGCTAAGAAACAGCGATGAGCACTGCCCTCTAGAATTGGACACCTTTGGACAGGGGAAACCTCTACCTTTAGATAATAGCCAAAGAACACCATCTTGTTTGGAAGGATGATAAACTTTATGCTTCAAGACATTTTATTAGTTATTTCTAATGTAGCGTTTTTGCAATATAAATCATTATGTGCTATTTTCATGCTATTCTGCTTTTTTGTGTGTTATGTTACCATAATTTTTAAATGCAGAGAGAGGAAAGATATGTATGTAGCCATCCAAAACATGGAATTTTAAAAATTATTTGTAATATTTATCACATTTACAGAATTTGTTATTCTGGCATGTTCTATTTTATTAATGCATAAAATGAATGGCATCAAATTAGAATTAAAACTGATACTTTAAGCTAAGTGAAGATATTTGTTTTACAATAAATTACCTAAATACCCACAGAACTTGTTGGATGATAGATTGAGTAGAGGTGATGAGGATGATTTTTAAAGCAGAAAGCCTAGTCAAACATACCAACTTTCCCAAGCTGAGTTTAATGCTTAGATAAAGTGCACTGCTCAACCTTTACCTAAGATGAATAAATCATCTGAATTGGTATAAAGTTTTAGATTCATATTCCATGGTGACTTTCAGAGAATACATGGCCCTGAACTCTTCTCATACTCTTTTGGATAAGTCATGCAATACTTCATAAAATGTTCTTTGAAGTTAACTGAGCTTCATGGAATCTATTGGAAATATAACTCACAAATATTAGCAGAATATATTCCACAAATGCTTATGTCTATGCAAAGCATATTAAACTAGGACTGGTGAAATTTAGTTTCAAATTCTCATTCAGCCACTGAGTTTGCTGGGTGATCTTGGGTCAATCAATATCTCTAAGTCTAATATACCTTGCAGAATAGTCCCTGTGAAGATAAAACAGCAGGAGAAATGGGATAATTATATAAGTCACATCCAGATCCTCAGAAAGATGATGAAATAAATTGCAACTTTACAAACACACTGAGTTATAGGCTTTCAAAAGCACAGCCTTACTTATCTTCTGTACTAAAAATCCAGTTAGAACATGGGGAAGGTCAGATCTTCAATTCTACTGCTTTTGAGCAAACTGAAAAAGTAGGCAAGAATTATACCATAGCATTGGAAGTGTAATGCTCTGTGAATCTGAGTTTTATAAAGGAACAAACAAGATATTTAAGCTAATAAGCAAGCCTATAAGTCACTTTGTTTCCATCACACCAGTACAAGTCCTACTCACACAAATAAAAGCAGGGCCAACTATTTTCCAACCAGATAATCTATTTTAACTAGAGCAGGGGTGTCAAACTGCCGGCCCAGGGGCCGGAAGCATCATGCCGAAACTGCACCCACCCCATTGCCAGCAATGGAAAAAAAGTCACGATACGTTGCGACATGTCACATGACATTGCAAGTTTGACACCCATGAACTAGAGCAAAATAACAACTCCACCTCTTAACTTGCAATCCTAAAAAAGATGATAACACAGCAAATCCCATTTTAAGACAATGAAATTAGAATAGAAAGTCTGCATTTCAGAAGGATTAATATCCAATTAGAACAATATTATCTCTCACTGAAGACAGGAAGTGAATATTTCAAATGCCTATCTGGCTGGCCCAGAGGTTTTGTTACGTTTTGTTTAGGATTACAAGTGGTTGATTAGAATTTTATGAGCAATGCTTCAGCATGCCAAAGCCTCTGCTGAGCATGCTTTGCTGAAAGTACTGTACATCAATATACAGGTATCTTTTCCACTCAAATGGAATTCTTTTTAAAGGCAATGGAAGTAAACCTTCAGTTTTAGATATAGACACTCACCCACACATCAAACCTTTTTTATTATTATTAAAACTTTTACAAGAATTACAAAATATACCCCCAAACCCACCCACCCTACCCTCCCTACCCTCCCCCTCCCCCACTTCCCAGAGCTGAATACAGGGTAACAAATATAATAATCATAATCTAACTAACATTAACCAACTATATAGATAAACAACTATAATGCGCTTTAACTCCTCTTT